CGTTCGAAGTATTGAACAAATCACGAAGCGAGAACATTCCGGATTTTCTCTTACTACGTAACAGTGATATTTTTAAGCAAAACGCTGTTCACGTTTACTTTAGAACGTCTGGCCGTTTTAATTTTCTAGTGTGCATGACACCTTGTGTGTAACCTTGACATATTAAGGTTACGTTAAGGACATATCAAGGTTATGCCAAGGTTATCTCAAGGTTATTTCATGGTTATTGATAATATTCTTCATATTTCTCTAAACAAACATATCCCTTACGTCCTTTAACACGATTATTATTTATTAAATTAGCTAATAACCTTGATATGTCCTTGACACAACCTTGACATGTCCTTGACATAACCTTGATATGTCCTTGACATAACCTTGAAATAACCTTGACATATCAAGGTTATGTCAAGGACATATCAAGGTTGTGTCAAGGACATATCAAGGTTGTGTCAAGGACATATCAAGGTTACGTCAAGGTTATGTCAAGGTCAACATCCCCTATATGATCGCCACCTTGTCGTGGTATAGGGGCTTAAGTAGCTACAATGAAGACTGGGGCGATGTCGGTTGGAACTTCGGTTCCAGGTAGGGCCTCCCTTGCCGGTAAGGTTCAGTCAGAGTGGTGAAAAACTAAGTGCGATCACCTAAAGCATATGAAGATGTCTAAGAAGACTTTTTCGTTTACTGCTCAGGAGGCGTCGGAACCCCCAGGCCCGTTGTGGACGGTGGTGGGCGAGCAGGCCCCCCACAACGGTCATGCGGCGACTGCTTATCGGGTGGAGTAGAACCTCTGGCTCCCCCGAGTATTACGGCTACAGGGATGAAACACGGGGCGGGCACAAAGAGTGTTCGTCCCAAAATAGCAGACGCCCGAGTTTACCTCTTGAGGATTGGCTCGGTCACGCCCACCCCGGCGAAGGACGTTGAGAGTCATAAAGCCTCAGGGAAATCCGACGGGGGAAACACTGGAGAAATCACCACACGCCTTGCGGCCAAATCGGACGACGAATCCGGGAACGTATGGTTCACTCCGGGGAGAGGAGGATCTCAAGCCGGCGAGAACGAGAAGGTGGAGTTCAAGTCTCCCTTTGTGCCGGTCAGAAAGATACCGAGGACCCCACCACCCGCCGAACGGCGACGTTCGTTGTCGCTTACGGACATGGCGTCCCAGACGCAGATGCAGGAAGACATTGAGGTGGTTTTCCACTCGGAAAGTGAGATGCGACCGACTTCTGAAGCGGCACACACGCAGAAAAGAAAGAGGCTGGACAGCATGTCTGATCTTAGCGAGGACGACACAGCTGTAGTTGAATCTAATCTGTTGGCCGACGTCACTATTCAACTGAGGAAACTCATAGCCTGCACCAAGGCGGCACAGGCGTTTTGTAGATCACAGGACAGCGTCAACTCCAACTTATCACTACTGGTGAACTCGTTGGTCAAAGAAACGAACTCTTTAAAAAGGATCACGAAGGAGGTCCTTATCAAAGGAAGACTCGAAACACGCGAGGAGGTCGGTAGTGCAAACGGCGCTTCTTTAATCGACGGCTGCTCCTCTCGTCCTCCTCTCCCCAAAACATTCAGGACTATGGGTACGCAAACCGCAGACCCGGAAGCGGTAGATCCTGGGGAGGTCGCAAGATGGGCGCGTAAGGAGCTCAACTCTGATGAGCTCCACAAACTCATTAATAAGAAGTGGGCAATCGATTCTTTTGCTCACTCAAACGTCGATGCAAACGCAAGCCCGTTGAAAGACGCGATTGACATCGCCTGCTTCACACCGGCGGACCTACGTACCACAGATGGAACTACGCGCAGAATCCTGCAGAAGATGGCATGTCTTGACGATATCCTCGTCCAGGAGGCCCGCAAGGGAGAGGTCGCCCACCTGCAGACCACTACCTCTATTCCAAGCAAAAGCGGCGGTATGACAAGGAAATCCAGGACCCACTTCTTCCTTATCCATAAGGATAATGAGAAGGACACTATCGAATTGCACGTGGCATACGAGTGCCTAAGGAAAATGGCGCACCTAAGTACGGATACTTCGGCTGGAAAAGAAATCACGTTGATTTGCCCCGACGAAGTAAGTACAATTATTACCAGGAAACTTGTAGAACTGACCTTCTCACAGAGCAACTTGACGATCCACCTCCACTCAAGTAAGGGAGAAGGATCAGACATATAAAAATGATCAAAAGCTCTGACGGCTCTGGTAAGCCTGCGACGGAAACCATTACCACATCCAGTAGCGGACAAACATACGCTGACATGCTGCGTTCTGTTAAAAAGAACGTCGACGTTAACCGAGAGGGGATTGACATCGCTTACGTCAAAGCGAACCTGAAAGGAGACCTAGTTATCTCTGTCAAGGGTGACCGAGGGAAGGTAACAGGACTCTCCGCACTAATTAATAAAAAGATTGCCGGAGTTAAAGCGAAAGTATCAACCCGCAATACAAAAACTCTCCACCTTAAGGGTTTAGACGGGGATGTTACGACCGAGGACATATCGAGTACACTATACAAGATGCTGGGCTCGACCTTGGATCCTCAGGAAGTTCAGGTGAAA